CGACTATATCTAGCCGGTACCTCTCAACCTCCTGCACAAGCTCGGGCTCCTTCCCCACCAGCGAGGTGACATTCCATGTTCCCAGGGCTAGTCTCCATGTCCAGAGATCGGGTCGTCGGGGCCCCTGCCTTTGACTGCTGCCCAATCCACTGTGCACTGGTAAACAACTTGAAAACAAACAAACAAACAGCATTGTCTCTTGGTAACAAATAGCTTTCTTCCCTATTAAAAACAATGTTTTGTTGACACAATCTATCCCAACCTCCTCCCAATGTTGACCTTGACATCGTACAACAATATCACCTGGCTTCCTCCTTTGCACATGTTTTTGCTACTGTAGCTGTTAGAGGGTTTTGTTGCCTTGATGTAAAAATATATTCTTCTAGGGCACTTGATAAAACAACTGTTGCTGTCATTCTTACCAAGAGAACTGCTTCAATCAATAGCATGTGGTGTCCCACACAGCTCCTTTCTTAGTCCTTTGTAATTTCCTTTCTGCTGGCTTCACTCCTGTATTCTTATTATTCTAATTATGATTCTTTCCAGCTCCAGCTAAACCACCTATACTCTAATCAGACAGTTATACTGGTACAGAATTTCCAAATATGAATTCAAGTGAATCATGTCTAATACATGTTGTTTGTAGTGCAGCAATACAGTCTCCAGCTACTGTATATCAAGTGTGGTTAACCCTCATTGGTTGATTTTCCAGTTTTCAGATTAGTGCCCCACTTTCCATCTCTCTCTTACTCACACATACACACACACACACACACACACACACAAGGATAAAGAGATTAGATTTTGGTGGACAAAGGTCAAAAGCCAAGGTCACAGTGACCTTATTTCAGAATCAGAATCTGCTTTATTGGCCAGGTGTGTAGGACATGAATTTGACTCTGGTACAGCAGCTCTCAATGTGCATGTGCATATCCCCACACAATGCAACAGCAAGGGGCAAGTAAACAATATACCAACATAAGGCTGTGTAGTATAACAAGATAAACAGTGTAAACAAGCAATAAACAATGCAAACAGACAAAGGAATGTTCATTAGGAAGCAAGATAAAAATAGAATAAAAATGGAGTACCTAAAAATAGAGATCTATACGGATCTGTATAATCTGTACAATGTATATTTACCAGTATTGCACTGGGGGAAGGGATTGCGCTGAGGGTTATTGTCCAGTCATACTGTCCTGGGTTAAGTGTTAATCAGAGTGATGGCTTGGGGGAAGAATCTGTCCTTCCTGCTCTTCCTGAAGTCCACTGTCATCTCCACTGTTCTGAGCATGTTCAGCTCCAGGTTGTTGCAGCTACACCACAGGACCAGCTGCTCAACCTCCCGTCTGTACACTGACTCGTCACTGTCTCAGATGAGACCGATGACCGTTGTATCATCTGCAAACTTTAGGAGCTTGACAGAGGGGTCCTTCAAGATGCAGTCATTGGTGTAGAGTGAAAACAGCAGAGGGGAGAGCACACATCACTGGGGGGCACCTGTGGTTATTGTCTGGGTGTTGGATGTGGTTTTCCCCAGCCACACTTGCTGCTCCCTGTCTGTCAGAAAGCTAGTAATTCACTGAAAAG